AAGGAGGGAGACGCCGCCGCCTCCCAGGGGCTGCCAGTGATCGCGGCCGGCGGTCGCGGTGACCGGGTGGCCCTGTGGCCAGCCCCGCGCCGACTTCACTTGGGCCGCGTTCTCCGGTTCCGTTGCCTCTCTCTCCGCGGAAGGTAAAGTCATGCGGCGCCGGCTGTTTCTAGCGTAGTTTGGCTGGTAGAGTCCCAAAGAAACCATTCTCTCCGAGGGACGCTGAGATTTTAAATGAGGAAGGTCACGTTTCTTAGAAAAGCGTAATCATGAGTTTATGGCAGCCCGGCATGTTGTGAATTTCAGGGGAAAAGAAGGTTTGGATGCCTGGCCCGGCCCCATGTGGGTTACGGATAACATCTTCCAACGAGCTGAGCCTTTTCCTCCCCGGCTCTGCCCCAGCCCCGGGGCTCGCGGGGGCGAAGGGACCAGGCAGAGGGCGGGGGCGTCCTAAGCTGAGCGGAGCCGGCAGCCTCCCCGTGCCCGCTGCAGGGCACTGCCAGGCGGGCGCCCGGGGCATCCGCTGCTGCTCACGGTCACTATTTGGCAGTGAAATGTGCAACGTGCCTTTTTTGGCACAGTTCAAGGACACATTAGAAAGAGATTTATTCACCCTTCCACTGGATTATTACAGCTCATAAAAATGTTCTTGAAGAAGGTGTAATAAAATGAAAGCACAATACAAGGCGGGGAAAAGTAGGTTACAGTTATTCATGTGGAAAATGATACAATTATTAATAAATAATTATACAAGAATAAACTCTGTTTCACCTACTCACAACGGTTAACCTACTTTGCCTCACCCTGTATTATACATTTAATGATAAAAAGTGTTACAGAATTTAGTTTAATACACACACAGGAACATACAACAGATAGAAAAGGCTGGAGGGGATACAGCAAAATNTACATTTAATGATAAAAAGTGTTACAGAATTTAGTTTAATACACACATACACAGGAACATACAACAGATAGAAAAGGCTGGAGGGGATACAGCAAAATGTTAATGATAATATTTGGGTGGTGGGAGTATAAGTAATTTTAATTTTTCTACTTCTTTACCACTTCCAAATTTTCTGTCATGCACATGTATTAGTTTTATGACCTGTTTTTAAAGTTTGCCTGAAAGAACTAACATAGAAACAGGAAAATAAGCATTATGTACTTCAGTTGTCACAATATCTTTATTGTCTTAATTTTCTCCTTTTGATGAACTCCTAAGTAATAGGGATGGCTGCATTGATGACCAAGTGAAAGCTACGAAGGAATTTTCACAGCAGTGACTGATCACAAAGCTCCGCGTGGCCAGCACACACTATGGCCTTGGGCAGCGTGAGTTTAACCGTAACAGTTGTAAACAGAATTGGCCACTCGGCCCTTCAGGAAGGCCTCTGAGACCACCCGAGTCACCGTGTGTGCTTGTACTGGGACTTCGCTCAAACCGTAGTTATGACTCAGTTGTTTTTTGCAGAATGAAAGTGAAAGGTGGAGGAATCGCCTGCGCGCTGGTCCCCGTCGCTGTGATCTGCCTGGTGGCCACCCCCGGGGACAGCACCTGTCCTCGCCGCTGTGCCTGCTATGTGCCCACGGAGGTGCACTGCACCTTTCGGTACCTGACCTCCATCCCAGACAGCATCCCGCCCGAGGTGGAACGTGTCAATTTGGGGTGCGTGGAGGCCATCGCCCTGTCCCCTTCTCAAAGAGGGGTCGTCGCCTGAACACTCGTGACTTTGGGAGATTAACCACAATTGCAATAATATTTCTCTTAAGATCCTCATGAGCTCATTTCGGAAGTTTGTTAGGGCAATAAGATAATTTAACTTGTAAACTTTTACTAGGAGAAAGTTCTGGAACCTGAAGTCACTCTTGGTAGGTTGGGAGGCCCATGGCTGTGGAAGAGCTTCATTCTGGCTCCACTTGTGCTGGAAAGTAATATAGCCCTTGTTAAGAATTAGGGTTATGATATATTGGTAAGAGACAACAGGCCAACTAGGAGTGTCCTCCTATAAATAAAAGACACGTGAAAAGCAGGCTAGATCCTTTCTGAAGGCCCTTGGGCTTTTTTCCATACAAACTGACTCACTTAAAATGCTTTTTAAAATACATACCTCATTAAATCTACCAAAAGGTGACTATATTTTTGAAAGTCATAAAAACCTGTGTGAACATATGTGTATTTGAACTTAATATAATTTATTCGACATTAGTGAGTACCTACTATGTGCCAAACACAATGGATGGTGCCAGGGATTCGATGAACAAAATATAGACTTACTCCTAGAAGCTACAGTTTTTTTGTTTGTTTTGTTATTTTTAATAGTTTATTGATTTTTAGAGAGAGAGGAGAGGGAGGGAGAGAAATATTGATCTGAGAGGGTAACATTGATCAGTTGCCTTCTGCATGCATCTTACCAGGGATCGAGCCCCTACCCGGGCATTTGCCCTGATCGGGAATCGAACTGACAATCTTTTGGCGCATGGGACAGTGTCCCACCAACTGAGCCACACCGGCCAGGGCTAGAAGTATAATTAAAGGAAGAAGACAGAGGTACATTCAGTACAACTTAATAAGAACCATAATATAGCAAAGGCACTTTGGAACACTTACTGATGATAATGGCTACCATTAATTGTGTGCTTACTGTCCTGGCATTGAGCTAAGCATTCTTCAGGTATTCATTCATTTAATCTTCATAACTCTTTTGCAATAGGTTCTATTATTTGCATTTTATAAATGAGAACAGTGAGGCACAGAAAGGTTACTGATTTCATTCAGGGTCACTCCTAATACTACCAAGTGCCTATATTCATAATCATGGCCACACCATTTGGCTTCAGAGCCCAGGTTTCTTAACCACTACTTTATGATGATGAATTCCACCTGGGACAGTGAGGGGCCCAGTGGCAAAGGAATGGCCTGGGTTTTAATAGTGTTCACAAAGAGAGGGGGTGGAGCCCTGGCATTCCAACCTGAAGGAACAGCGAACACCTAGAGGTTTGAACCGAGAAGGAACGTGGCAGGATCCGGGAACGTGAATGAGGTGATTGTACCTGAGACTGCGAGGGCTGGCGGGGGGCAGACCTTCTGTGGCATCTGATGAATTTCAATAATATTGCAAGCGTTGGATTATCTTAGAGCACAGGTAAAGCAAGAGGGGCATCGGTGTGTGGGGGTGGGGGGTGCACGCACGCTGGCTCTTGCTTTGACATTTGAACTTGAGTTGACCGGCTTAGCTTATGCCTAGAATGCCATTTGTATTTCAGGTACAATAGCTTGGTCCGACTGACAGAAGCGGATTTTGCTGGCCTGAGTAAACTGGAGTTACTGATGTTGCACAGCAATGGCATTCACACAATCCCGGCCAAGACCTTCTCAGATTTGCAGGCCTTGCAGGTGAGACCTGGTGGGGCAGGGGCAGGTTAAAGAGGTAAGAGGTTCCTCCAAGAACTGCCTGTTCCTACAGCATCCAAAAATCAACATCCTGTAAATTAGAAGTAGACATCGAGGCAGAATGTGAAAGAACTGGTTTCTTTTTAAATGCAACAATATGTGGAAATTAGAATAATAAGGAAATTCCGATGCAAGTTTTCTCATACCTCAGGCTAGGAGGGAAAAAAAAATCAATACCCAGTGATTACAAACCCTTTCAAATGTAATCCTAAAAGGCCACTTCTAGTCCTGTTCATCTGGGAACAGAATCTGGTTCTGAAAGAGAATTGCTATCTTAGAAGTTAGCCTTCTATATAGCAGTATATGTTTTTAGTTTCACTTTATTTACTTATTTATTTGTGCCCTGCCTTGTTCCAAAAACTTTAACAAGTTGTGGAGACTTCCAAGAATGGGTCCAGTATTGTAAAAATGATCACTCCAGTAGGTGAGAAAGTGCAAGGCAGAGCAAATCTAAGGACAAGAACAGAGGGAGTGCAGTGCAACGTAGACATGCAAGATCAGCGTGTCTCTGTTAAGTCGGACGTGAGACTTTAATGAGCTCACAATTCATGACGTTTAGTAATTTTTATAAGTAAAAATTAATAAAACTGTCCAGAAAAAGCACAAACACCTCTAATTTTTAAATCTGTCTCCCAAAGCTTCTGATAAAATACAGTGCTATAAAATAAATTAAATCAGTAATGTCTTTATAAAATATAAAATGCCACATGCAAGGGCTCTGGAAAAGCCACAGAAGCCAGTCTGGACCTGGGATTCTGTATTTGGCCTAATCGGGCTTTATTTGGAATCTGTGTGTTCAGAGGGCTAGGAGGCGTGCATGTCCTTCATGAAATGCTCCGCACAAGATACTCTCCACCGGGTGCTGAATAGATACTGAGGACCGCTGAGTTTGAGACTTGGCTCCCAGGTAATACGGGGGCAAAGCTCTTCTGTGTTGCCAATTTTGTTTTCCTTTGCTTGTTAGGGAACTTGGCATCCCAGAAAGGCACTCAACAGAGATGGCAGATTGGGTCAAATCAGGAAAAATTATGAGAAACCACTATTTTTACTAGCATTTCTTTGTTTTTTCTTTGTTTGGAGAGAAAGTATGTTTAACTAGTAACTGGAGAATAAATTGAAGACTGCCCACACACTACTGAACTAGTAAAAAATGATTTTAATTCAAAATTGAGTAAAATCATATTATCCTTAATAGCCAAAAAAGTAGAAAACACCCCAAATGTTCATAAACTGATAAATGGATAAACACAATATGTTACATGTATGCAATGAAATATTATTTGGCAATAAAAAGGAATGAAGGGCTGATACAAGCTAAACATGGGTGGGTCCTGAAAACATTGGGCTCATTGAAGAAAAGCGAGACACAGAAGACCACGTATTGTAGGGTCCCATTTGCTTTACATGTTGTGACCAGGCAAACCCATAAAAACAAAGCAAATTGGAGGTTTACTCAAAGGAGGAAGGGAAAGAGACTTCCAGTGGGAATGAGTTTTTGCTTAGGGGTGGTGAAAATTTTCTAAAATTAGATAGCGGAGACAGTTACACAATGTAAATATACTGAAACCACTGAATTGTTTAGAAAGGTGAATTTTATGGCATGTGAATCATATATCAATAAAACCATGATAAATGTGAAAAAAATTAAAATCAATATATCATGAAAAATTCAGTTTCAAGAAACCTTAAATTTACATGAAATGTCAAGGTACTTAAAAAAAAAACTTAGTATGGAAACTTACACGCCTCTGTAAAAGCAGCAGCAGATAATGAAGCTCGGTGGAGCGTCGCCCGACTCCGGGGGTCCCCCCACCCGGGCCGTTTCCCTGTCAGTCACTCGCCTCTCCCACTTCAGCGCATTGTGTGGAACGAATCCACAGGGTCATAATGTTTCACCTGCAAATACTTCAACACGTATCTCAAAGTTAAGGGATCTTTTAAAAATAACCACAACATTACGATTTTATCTTAAACTTTCAGCAACAGTTCCTTAGTGTCATTAAATGTTTGTGAGTGTTCTAATTTCCCTGATATTGTCATCTTTAATTTGCAATTAGTCTGTTTGAGTTAGAATTCAAGCAAGGCCCACCCGCTGCATCGTATTAATTTCAGCATATGTTTTATTGATCATTCCTCTTACAAAATAAATGTTCTTTTTCTTCTTAGGTCTTAAAAATGAGCTATAACAAAGTCCGAAAGCTTCAGAAGGATTCTTTTTATGGCCTCAGGAGCTTAACACGGTTGCATATGGACCACAACAATATTGAGTTTATAAACCCGGAGGCTTTTTACGGACTCACCTTTCTCCGACTGGTGCACTTGGAAGGAAATCGGCTCACTAAGCTCCATCCAGACACATTTGTCTCTCTGCGCTACCTCCAGATATTTAAAACATCTTTCATTAAGTACCTGTACTTGTCTGATAACTTCCTGAGCTCCCTCCCGCAAGAGATGGTGTCCTACATGCCTGACCTGGAAAGCCTTTATCTTCACGGGAACCCCTGGACCTGTGACTGTCACTTAAAATGGTTGTCCGACTGGATGCAGGAGAAGCCAGGTATCTACACCACTTATTTCTTTGTCCTAACGCAATAGAAGCAACCTGCCTGTGCTTTGGCAGTAAGTGAGGGGGCCAAGGTAATTTAGGTGGAAAAAACAAAGTCTAAATAACCCAGTAGTAACAAATTGTCTTCATTCTTTCCTGAGTTAATTGTCCATTGTTTCAAAGGTCAGCTATCCAATCACCACTCCTGGCCTTTGGCAAAGTTGAGACATGAGAAATGTGTGTGCTGCTCTCCCGGGCACCAGGAGCCACACACACCCTTCCTTGTGTTTGTCAGGCAGTGAGGCAGTGATGCTGTTTGGAGCTCTATTTAAGGTTCTGTGCTAGGCGATGGACATACCCAGGGCACTGTCTCTGCTCTAAGCACACTTCTAGTGGCTACAGATAAGCAGACAGACAGCTGGGGTTCGAAATGCCCTTTGATGGGGAAAGTGGAACTTACCATGAAGAATGCAAGGGCCATTCAGTCCATAAGCAGTTATTGTAAACCTAGGTACCGGAGGCCGCAGAGAACGCAGGGATCCAAAAATGGACAAGACAGATGAAGGTCCCGGCCTTGGTGGAGCTTGCATTCTTATGGGAAAAATAGGCAAACAACTAATTACACTATTAATTATTAAAACCTGACTAAATAATTATTTAAATTAAATCCACAAGATGATGACTGAAAGGAACCCCTTGATT